TTCAGGGAAAACTTCACACTCTTGGGCCTGTCATGTTGCTTAACTAGGCTATATTTACATTTACATTTACATTTAGTCATTTAGCAGACGCTTTTATCCAAAGCGACTTACAATTGGGGGATACATAAAGCGATTCTTCTTAAAGAGGCAAACAGACACAGGAAGTGGTTGTAATACCAAGTTTCTAGACATTGTTCAAATAAGTACAAGCTAGAAAGAGAAGGAATAAATAAAGAGAGAGATGTTTTTTTTGTTTGTTTTTTTTTGTTGTTTTTTTTTATGATGAAGTCAAGTAGCTTCGAAAGAGATGTGTTTTCAGCTGTCGCTTGAAAATTGTCAGGGATTCAGCATTCCGGATAGGGGTGGGAAGATCGTTCCACCAGCCAGGAGTGGTGAACGAGAATGTTCTGGAAAGTGATTTTGAGCCTCTCTGTGATGGTACCACGAGGCGTCGCTCACTAGCGGATCTCAGACTTCTGGAGGGGATGTAGATTCGTAGTAGTGAGTGGAAGTAGGCGGGTGCTGAGTCTGTGGCTGTTCTATATGCAAGCATCAATGTCTTGAACTTGATTCGAGCCGCAACCGGTAGCCAGTGCAAGGAGATAAAGAGAGGTGTAACATGGGCTCTTTTGGGCTCGTTGAAGACCAGTCGTACCGTTATAAATATATATATGTGTTATAAATATAAAAACTTAAGTTACGTTTTTACTGCAGTATGTTTCATTTGTGTGCAGTTTCGTTCATTTGTTCTGATTTCTCCACGAGATTCTCTCACATACAGACTATGATTACAAATGATATTGATTCTGATATTGAACAGTTCAATAAACAAGTTAAGAGACTTACGTTTTAAAGATGCTATATTTCCTGTTTTTGTGCTATTTTGACAACAAAAGTAATTCCAAACACAGCCACAAAATGTAAAAAATCTATTTAAAGTTATTGGAAAAGATTAATTTCTATCCATGTGAACTGACCAGCACACAGTCAGGTGTCCACGGCAGTCCTTAAGACATCAGCACAATAACACACTCCGCAAAATACCGTCTAATTATCGTTATCGATAAAATCCCAGAAAATATCGAGATATTATTTTGTCAATATCGCACACCCCTACAGTCTGTAACTGTAGGCTATATCAAATTTAGCCCGCCAGAGTGGCCAATGGGAGAGAGCGTATTGGTGTGTAATTACTGAAGTTGCTTTGAAAGCATCTGTATTGCATGAAGCTGACAGATGACTGTTTGAGTGAAGGTGTGGTTCTCCTGTTGTCTGAAGCGTCTGCTCTCTCTGTTCCTCCTGCAGGTTGATGTTGCCACAGGAAACGGGGTTAATCGCCATAGCGGCGCGTCAGACGCAGGGCAAAGGTCAGCGGGTTTCCATCGGCTCTCTCTCACGTAGCCGCATTACCTCTGTTTTAACGAGTAAACGAGCGTGTCATTCATTAATGCTGTGCTGCAGGCCGCGGGGGGAACGCCTGGTTGAGTCTCCACCTGCAGCTTCCTGTGAACTCAAGCCTCGGACAGAGAATCCCCTTCCTGCAGCACCTCGCCGTGGTGCAGTCTGTGTGCACTGCCTGGATACGAGGTACACACACACACACACACACACACTCTCTCTCACACACACACACACACACACACACACACACACACACTCTCTCACACACACTCTCTCTCTCACATACACACACACACATGTCGTGTTTCCATGTTTTATGGGGACATTCCATAGGCGTAATGGTTTTTATACTGTACAAACTGTATGTGCTATTGCCCTACACCAACCCTACCCCTAACCCTACCCCTCACAGGAAACTTTGTGCTATTTCAGATTTTCAATACACTCCATTCTGTGTGATTTATAAGCGTTTTGAAAAGTGGGGACATGGGGTAAAGTCCTTGCCCCTCACAGGAAACTTTCTGCATTTTTACTTTCTCAAACAAACTCATTCTGTATGATTTATAAGCTTGTTTCGTCATGGGGACCTCAAAAATGTCCTCATTTGACATTTGGTCCCCATAACGTGATAAATACCAGGTACACACACTCTCTCACACACACACACACACACACACAAACTAGGGATGGCCAATATGGGCTTAAAAATATATCACGATATTTCTGGTATTTATTGCGATAACTATATCAATGACGATATCCAAACACCAGCCTTTGCAGAAATAATTTTCTTCTGTAAAATAGCAGATTGTTATGTTTAAGTTGTGTTCCAGTAACTGTGCTGAAAAACATCACACAACAACAATTACACATTAATAATTGAAATCAATTACAAGTTTAAAATGTAAACAGATTCTGTATTTATTTATACTCTCATGGTACAAACAGTGTGTCTGGGGTTTCCTGGCAGTGTCATGTTCATCCGTCCTCGGTAAGCAGCAGTTTATCTGTCATCTGCACCTTGTGCTTTAGGCTCGTCTTGATGAGGTGAAAATATTTGTCCGAACTTCGCTAAACGCTCTGAGATCTTTCACCTCATTACAAACCCATTCATCGCCCCCCACTTCCTCACATTCAAGCCCATTCGGTCTTATTAAATCACTGATACGGTTCTCTAGGTGTCCGGTGCTCGGCGGGACGCGTTTACCCATAAAAGCGTTTTTAAACTGTTGACGCTGAGTAAACGCACGCACAACCTTTAGAAATCATTAAGCAAATAGCTCACCTCCGATCCATAAACGCCACATCCACAATATCCTGTTAAACAATTTCAGCTGGAGGTTCCCTGAAGGTCAAACCAAATCTATCATCTCTAATACCGGCTGCATAATACCGGCCTCCAATCTTCCGTCCCTGGAGACGCCGGCTCTTCTTCAAAATCATAAAAAGCCGCAGTCTTCATCAGCAAACAAACACAGCGAGTATTAACCCTCTGCAGGAGGAGTATTAGATCTCCACACGCTTCATCAATCCGTCATGTGCGAGCTTCTCTCAGACGGAATGGGAGATGAAAGTTCCTGCTCCAATAATGACTTTAATAGCAGCCTTGGAAATGGTGAAAATCAGTACTTCTGTTCAATATTTTGTTGCTGAGAGTCACGACACAACACGCTCACGTGTGTCATCTCATGTTTATTGAGATTCTAATCAAACTAGTCGTTTTAGTAACATCCGCTGCATCTGTTAGACTCTTGGTTTGCACCATAAATAATCGAGCTGCACAATGGTCGAGCAGTATAAATGTGCCCATTCTAGCAGCTTCATATGAAGAGAGTGACCAGTTAGAAACCTGCAGGATTGGTTGTTAAACAACAGAAAACTGGACCATCAGCTTTTCCAAAAATGTTCATAGAAGTAATTTCACAATCATTTTCCTGTTCACTCCGTTTCATTCCAGCTCAGTGTTCAGCAGTTCTTCATTTAAAGCTGAAGTGTGAGATGTCCTGTTAAGTTTGAAGAGTGAAAAACTGTGATCAGAATATTGATCAGTTTGTTTGAGTGGCTTCTGGCTCGACCAATCACAGAGTCTGGGGTGGGACTGTCTGTCTGCCTGACCAATGGCAGATGTGGGTGATATAAATCAGTTTAGTCGCATAGAATTACACACTTCTCCTTTAAAGTTGCAATAAGTAGGTGTGTTCGACTTGAAGCAGCGCTGCACAGAACGAAAAACATCAAAGTACCGTGAGAGTGATTCAAAATCGTATGCGCTCCAATTGCTTTCATGGTATTTTGATGCCGTACACCGATCGGTCTGTGCAGCGCCGCTTCCAGTCGAACACAACTAGTGGTTTCTCAGCAAGCTGTTAATATTTGAAATCACTAAAACAAACACCCCTAACTTGATAGCTCCACCCCCAAATTCACAAACACACTTTGCTGCTGCCAGGATTCTGACTAGAATGTAATGTAGAATAGCTGTGCATTTACTGAATGAGCACTGTGCAATGTCCGAACTGATTGCACTGTATTTTATGCATAATAATTTTTATTCTTAACTGTTTTAATTCATTTTAAATCAATTTTTAAATCATTTAAAACGTTTTTAAATTCCTTGCTTTTATTGTTGTGATTGTATTTATGATTATTTTAATTCCTTTTATGTAAAGCACTTTGAATTACCATTGTGTATGAAATGTGCTATATAAATAAACTTGCCTTGCACCTCCCCCCTTCATGGATGGACACGCCCCTTGCTGCTGATTGGCTACAAGTGTGTGTTGGCGCTCTGTCCGATCCACTTTTAACAGCCTTCACCTTCACTCAGAAATCACTTACTGCGCCTTTAAATTCTGATATTTTTACAGAAATCCTGCTGAAACATTTGCTCTTTTTGCTATAGCTTAATTAGATGAAATAATTTAGTTTTGTAAATGTTGGCACAAAAGCATGTTTCAAAAACAATCTGTGGATGATTATGTCTTGCATATCTGAGTTTAGTGAACAATAACATGCAGCAAATATGTGTCCCTGCAGCACAAAAGCAGTGTTAAGTCGCTGGGGTATATTTGTAGCAATAGCCAACAATACATTGTATGGGTCAAAATTATAAATTTTTCTTTTATGCCAAAAATCATTAGGATATTAAGTAAAGATCATGTTCCATGAAGATATTTTGTAAATTTCCTACCGTAGATATATCAAAACTTAATTTTTGATTAGTAATATGCATTGCTAAGAATTTAATTTGGACAACTTTAAAGATGATTTTCTCAATATTTAGATTTTTTTGCACCCTCAGATTCCAGATTTTCAAATAGTTGTATCTCAGCCAAATATTGTCCTATCCTAACAAACCATACATCAATGTAAAGATTATTTATTCAGCTAATAAACTGACCCTTACGACTGGTTTTGTGGTCCAGGGTCACATATAAGGTTCGTCTGGAGGCCTTAATGACCGAAACACGTCCTCTCCTCCGTACTCCAGACGTCATGGCTGTAGAATCCCGTGTCAAACAGATATATATTCCTGACTCGCTGCTGCGCATGTGAACAGATGCTCTGTGGTTTGGCATAAGCAGCAGAAGCGCAGCGGGTCACCTCTCGTTGCTGATGATGACGGAGGTGCTGATGTAATGAGGGCCGGCGGGGCTCTGGGTCCGGTGCACCTCCTCGGCCCGGTACCCATCCGTTAAGTGGCTGAGAGCGTAGGGTCCTGATGGGACGTGTTTGGTCCAGACGTGGTGGAGGTTGAGAGAGACTCGGCTCTGGGCCACCAGGAGTCTCTTGTCCTCCGTGTGGCTCTGCTCCGAGAGTCTGCGTCTCTGCGTCTGCTGGCTGAAGCCCTGGAGCGCCTGATGCTCTCTGCTGCTGCGGTTCTGACCCGGCTCCTCTTTAAACTCCCCGCTGGGTCTGTAGCCGCCCTGCAGCATCTGGGCTGTGAATGCGCCGTCGCCCGCCGGACCTGACGGACAGAGTCGTTGCCGTTAGACGTGCCGTCCAGTAATGCAGGTAATCAAACATTTACATTCATGCATTTGGCAGATGCTTTTATCCTTTGTACACTTGGTGCACATTTGATCAGTTCTTGCTTTCTTTGGGAATCGAACCCATGACCTTGCCACTGCAAGCGCTGCCCTGATTCTACTGTATCCATATCCTGCCACTACTAAACTGTCCCTAGCAAATAGCAATAATTTTGATCAAACAATTAAATATATGTGTATGTAACCACTGTTATTGCAATTTCGGCCGCATCTGAAAGGGATCACAATATTGACATTACCTGAGAAGTTAAAGAAATATGCTAGAAAACATTTAACAGATGTGTGGAGTAAGAACATATAAGAGCTGAAGTGTTTGAAACATACGAGTACAGTTCGGCTGAATGCTAAAGTTTGCTCTATCATGTGTTGAATGTTATCTTTGGAATGGAAATATGGATATTTTTTTTGTAAACATACTTTTTTCGCTTATTTCAGTTAATGCCATAAAACTAGCGAGCTGAGCCAGTAGTAGTGCTGGCAGTGTTGTGTAAACATGACTGAAGACTCGAAAAGAGGAACAGATGAACCGATTCAATCGAGTGAGTCATTTACGCTGGAACCGCTCCAAATGATTCAAAGTCGTGAATTCGATCATTCAGTTTAGGCGATTCACTAGCAAAAACCAGATCAAAAGAGCCATTAATTTTCGAATTTCGACATTGCTTGTAATGATTTTAAAAAAGCATGTAGTGCCCCTCCAAGTTAGCCAGGGTTAGCCACATGTTAAAAGTTAAATATATATTGCAAAATAATCACGAAATTGCATTATTTAGTCATACAATTCGACTGGCAGTCATGTTAGCACCTACTGTATTAAAAATCTAAACTCTAGAACGTTTGTTTTGTGTGTGCGGGGCGCCGGACAGATGGGTGCCTATTAGGTCCGTAAACTTTTGAAACGCATGTGACTTGAGGCTGAGCTGTAATTGGCTTGTTTCAGATTGTCCTCGGGCCGCAGACCCTCCCAATTTTGATTTTAGCGAATCAGTATTGTTTTTATATATTTTGGCCTCATGTGATTGGATGTCTCTTCCGCGATTAAAGTCAATTCGATTTTATCTTTACAAAAAATCCTTTAACAAGGCATTCAAATGAAGAAGAAGAAGAAGAAGAAGTAGAAAAAATACGGATCATGGAGCTTGGACGGAGTTGGCTAGCTGGATGCGATATAAGTCATGCCTTTTATTGTTTTCCCTGTTTGTTATTTCAGAGTCCTGTCACTGAAGCATTGCGGACAGCGACACAGAAGGTAACTGAAACAACGCAGTTTAACTTGAGGCGATCATCGGGGTCCAAGCACAATGGCTTGTGTAGATGATGCAGTTACACAATCTCTTTTCAAGTAAAATATGAGTCTTTATGGGAGTATTATTGTATGCACAATATTAAAATAGATAAATAATATAGTGTCCCTTCTTCAATTGGACATACATTCAGTCATGTCTGACAACTTGACAAACATGTTGTCAATACCATTAAAATTAAGATAAAAAAAATAATGGTCTATAAGTATTTAGGAGATTGCAGTTTTTGCATACTTATTATATTGGGCTTTATTAAACTTTATGAAAATATAATTAATTTATATGCAATTTTTTTTTACTACAAGTCAATTTATTGAACAATTTTCACAGTCTTTAAACTGAGATCTTAAAGGATTTGGTATCCTGTCCCTCGTGTGGACAACATTAGTATTATGGCCTTCATCTCTGAGTCACATTAATATAAATGGCTGATATTTTTTTGAATGATTACACGTTTAATGGTTAATTTGCTGATAATACACCCATATTAAACTCAAATTCACTGATTCGTGGTATCTTATTTCATGCTTTAACAGTTGAATTTTCAACTTCCATTTTTTAGCTAAGCAGTAATGATACATTATTATGTCACTTTTGAAATGGTTATTTAACAATTGCATTCAGTCATGCTGCCTACATTAACAGTGTGAATCTGTTTGTTTGTGCAATTTTTTTTTAGCACCAGCCGCCACTGACTGCATTCAGTCCTGCTGCCTGCATTAACAGTGTGATTCTGTTTGTTTGCTTTTTAAGACCAAGTAAAGAAAATTTATGGAATAAATTGAAATTAACAAAATATGTTAATATAACTTCTTTCTAATTTTAGTTTTAATTAATTTTACAGAACATAAATACATAAATTTATTGCACTTTCTGATCACAACGCAAAAATGTGATGTTTTTCCTCAGTATGTTTGTCTTGTTTTCCACTTCCTTCATATCTTCAGACCTATATCTGTAAAAAACATGTAAGTAATTATAGGAATTTTGCTTGCTGTCCGTTCCAGTAGAGCGCACTGAACTGGGGAAAGAGGCATGGAATAATCTACAAAATAAGTCGAAGTTTAAGGAGCTGGTCTCATTGGATGTTTTTAAAGTGATTTTAAATGATTTGGAGGCAGAAACATCTGGTTGTAGATGCTTTGTTTGATTTAGTTATGTATTGGTTCTTTTTATTGTTATTTGTTATTTTATTTCTGTTTGTGTGCATTGATGGATGCTATTTGCTAGACCTACGTGAGTTTTGTGTTACTGACAATCCTAGCCAGGGCGCTCTTGTAGAAGAGATATTTAATCTCAATGTGCTTTTCCTGGTAAAATAAAGGTTTAAACACATTTCTAAAGATTCATAAGTCAAGATGCACTGAAAAACAACTGAAAAACTATCAAAATTAAGTGAGTTTATGATTAAAACAAGAAGAAATATCTGTCAATAGAGTCAGAAAAATCAACTTAATTCAAAGGGAAACAAGTTTTCATTCCCCACTGACAGATATTTGTTCACTTCATTTTGCTCAAGTTCTCAGAAAACAAGACTTCTTCATTCATTATCTTCATTGTGCTTCTCCAGTAGATGTGTCTTGATTTAAGGATGTTTAGATATTTGTACTGGAAAACAAGACGGAAATACTGAGGAAGAGATTCATGCAGCATTTAATGCCACGACTTTCTGAATTTAAGACTCTGCTCTGATTTAAGAGCGTCAGAAAGTGTCTGTGGTTCTGATGTGTGTGGGCTGTTACCTGAGTATGCGCAGGAGTGCGCCGCTGCTTTATCTGCGCCGCTGCAGCTCCAGTGCGGCCGGCTGGAGCGCGTCTGCGTCTGCGCAGGTGTGTGTGCGTAGGACCGTGTGTAGGCCGGCTCGGGGACCTGCGTCTGCTCCTGAAAGGACGGCAGGCTGCAGGGACTCGACTTCCACGAGGGACACTCCGCTTCATCAGCATGCAGCGAGGTCTGGAAACCGTTCCCGGGTGAGCCTGCGAGCGCTCTTACTTGCGGATACGGGGGTTTGCTTTTGATCTTGGCTGCTTTGGCTTTCAGCTGTTTGCGTGAGTCCTGAGGAGCCGCCAGACTCGAGGTCTTATAGGAGAGACACGGTCTGGATCTGCTCTGGTCCTGAGAGAGCTGCATCTGTTTATATTCCACATCGCTGCGGAGATACACAGCATTAGTGAACACAGGGTTTGTGCGGGTCTGAACAAGTCTAACTTCCATAAATTAAGGTCTGAAAGATGCCTTAAATTCATGAAGTTGTGGTGTTAAATGTCTATATCTCTTCCTCATATTTCAGTACAAATATCTAAACATCCTTAAATCAAGATGTATTTACTGGAGATGCAAAATGAAGAGTCTTGTTTTCTGTGAAACTGAAAAAGAATTGAGTTTATGATTAAGAACAAATATCTGTCGATGGGGAATGAAAACTAGTTTCCATTTGAATTAAGTTGATTTTTCAGACTACATTGGCAGATATTTGTTCATTTTAATCATAAACTCACTTCATTTTGATCGTTTTTTTTTCCATAAAACAAGACTTCTTATCTGCTGTCGTGTTGCATCTCATATCTTGATCTAAGGATGTTTAGATATTAGTACTGGAAAACAAGACAGAAATACAGGGGAAGATTTTCTTTTGTTTGCAGTGTTATCAGAAAACACAGTAAAAGTTATTTCCATATTCTAGTGGTTGAGAGCAGAGATATTCAAGCCTTAAACTGTTTTTGTTCTTGTTGTAAAGTGAATAAAAAATTAATGGAGATCAATTGGAAGTTGTATTTTCAATATTTTATTTTGCTATTGAAACTCATTATGCTTTCGAGACCATATTGGTATATCACTTTATCACTTTACATATCACTTTATTCCTTAAATCTTCTTGACTTGGTCTTAAGCCCAAGACACACTGCACGAATCCTACAGAAGTGCTGTGCTGGAGGTGAAAGGCGACTCACGTGAGGACGTAGTTGACGCTGACGATGCAGTGCGGCCGAGACGAGCGGCTGTTGTGAACGATGGTGGGGCAGCTCTGCACCCAAACCCAGCCGCCGTGTTTGGCCAGCATCCGGTAATACTTGGTGGTGACCTGCCCCTTCACCAGCACTGACACACACACACACAGACACGCACAGACAGACACACACACACACACACACACAGACACACGCAGACACACACACACACACACACGCAGACACACAGACACGCAGACACACACACACACAGAGACACACGCAGACACACAGACACGCAGACAGACACACACAGACAGACTGAATGACACTGTTGGGGGTAACGCATTACAAGTTACACAATCAGATTACTTTGAGTAACTAGTAAAGTAATGCATTACTTTTTGATTCAGAAGGAAATATGAGTTATTTTTCAAATAAGTAACTCGTTACTTTGTTTCCATGTATTGAGTGACAGCTCTGGTGTTGCCATGGTGACAGAAATCAGGAGTAAGTGCAGAGCGTTGTGTGTGAACATGATCTTACTGTAGTTCTAGACTAAATATCGACATGTGTTTACTCATCTCACTGCACACAAACACATTCAGTGTTCCTCAAAATCTATAAAAACAGTCAAATGCAAACTCAGAATATTATACAAACCTGCAATAATTGTTAAATAAGACAAATATAATTTGTATTTAATCCCATTTTATTAACCAGTGTCTTTACTACTGACCTTCGATGATCCAATTCAATCATACTAATAATCAAAAATGACACATTTGTGTTTGATTTGTGTTATTGCTCAATAGTGTTGAACTTTCTTCTCCTGCGTCATATTCTTCATGTGATTAGTTTGAGCGGCGCCCTCTACTGTACAGACGTGAATTTACATTTCCTTCAGCCTGAGGCGCATTCACTTCACTTTTGGTGTGAAAGGGCTTTTACGTTTGGAAAATAACTTTTTATATTAAAATCAAACAAGCAAGCCCCGCCCAGATTTAAAAAGTAACGCAAAAGTAACGTAACACATTACTTTCCATAAAAAGTAACTTAAGTAACTTAATTAGTTACATTTTTAGGGAGCAACGCAACATTGTAATGCATTACTTTTAAAAGTAACTTTCCCCGACACTGTTGACTGAATAATCCAGCGGTTCTCCATCGCGTTCCTGGAGCGCAGCCCAAACAGGAACACGGCTGAGAAGCGCTGATGAAGCGCATGCGGCGACTCACGTAAATGATGTGCGTATCGCAGGTGGAAGACGTCGCAGCCATGGACGTGATGGTAGAGAGTCTTCTCAATCAAATCCTGCGGCTCGTAACCCGTTAACTCGGCCACCCTGACACACAAACAAGACTGCATTTACCCTCCTGTAACACACACACTCATTCAGCAATGTTTTCATTCACTGCTCCTCGCTGTTGAAATGATCTTCTGAACCTCATGCTATCTGGACCATTTTCAAGAAAAGTTTGAGCACTGAACTACATTCCACTCAAAAATATCATCATCTGTGCTTTCATATCCTGGTTTAGCTCATACTGATCTGGACGATGTTTGAAATTGAGATTTGAACATGAGATTTTTCTTCAAAAGTGTTAATTCACAGAATTAAATCAGAACATAATGTCTTAAATTAATAGAACTGTGGCATTAAATGTTGCATAAACTGCAAAAAAAAAAAAAATCTCAGTATTTTTGTCTTGTACAGTACAAATATCTAAACATCCTTAAATCAAGACCCATTCACTGGAGACGCAAAATGAAGATTTTTCTTCTGAGAAATTAAACAAAATGAATTATATTTTTGATTAAATCAAGAACAAATATCTGAATTTTAAAAAGTAACGGAGATCTGTTGTAAGCTGTATTTTCCAACTTTAAGACATTCGCATTAAGAGACCGTACTGACAATATTGTGTTCTTTTCATTTTAGTCTTTAAATTTTCTTTACTTGCTCAGAAAAAGTCTTAAATTTGCCTTGTGAAGCCTGCAGAACCCCTGGTCACACTGAGCACATTGCATTGTGGGATACAGTAGTGTGTTGGAGTGAAGCTCACCTGCTGTCCAGGAAGATGAGTTTGAGGTCCAGACTGGCACGGAACATGAACATGTTGCTGTGGAGTTTGATCTCGGTGACGCTGCTGGGAGGAAGAGACTGACCCACCGCCAGCAGCCCCACGATCTGATAGCAGGACTCAAACAGAGACACGTCCATCAGCAGCTGACGGAGCTTCAGATAACCGCTGCAGTGGATCACCTGCACACAGCACACGCTTCAGACTCAGCTCTCGCCATCTGGAGAGCAGCTCCAGCCCAGAGACAGTGTGTGTGTGTGTGTGTGTGTGTGTGTGTGTGTGTGTGTGTGTGTGTGTGTAAACATCATTTATTATTTTTTTTTGTAATTTTCCCTTGTCAATGTCAAAAATGTCAGGTTTTACTGTCCTTTGTGGCAGGGGCGGAGCCGGGGGGGGGGCTGTGGCCACCACTGACCTAAGCTTGACCACCCCTTTGGCCACCCCACTCAAAACTGCAGTTTTTGTTGCTTTTTTTCTCTACAATGAATTTATGAAGACACGGAACAGCCGTATTTCTTTGCATCCACATCAAACGGGAGACTTTTCAGACGTGCACTTCAATTTTGTATTGGCGCGAGTCAAACGAGCGCGGAAAATGTGCCAGATAAGCTTCAGTAGAACAACAGTGAACTGCGGTCTGATGAGATATTATTAGGCTATATGTAAAACAAACTGCCCTGTCCTGTCAGCCGTTTTACTGTGCTCACGGTGCACACTCTTCAACTTTACGCGAAAATGACGAGCACACTCTACATCGCTTCATCATAAATAAAGCGCAAAAGAAACTATGAGCATTCAATGAAGTTCTGTCATCAGTTAAGTCATGAAATTAACAAAAAGGCGATTAAAGCTGCAAACTGTACATGCATGTCTATGCATCACTTTATAGAACGTCTCTCAAATGCACTAGAATATTCTGCAATTTGAGATCACATAAGGCACAAGTTGATATGTATTTTTTTTATTTGTAATTTAATGCACAAGTAAATGTGAGCACAGAGCACTTTTGATTACACTTTATTTGTAATTAGAGTAATAGCCATCGGCTAAGAAGGAGCTTTTGTTATTTATATTGCTCCGTTCCTGCACTTAAGAGTGAACTTTAGTTTCGATTTGAGCAATTGCCCTGCTATAGGCTTTTGGGTGTGCTAATTTAACAAGGCGGCCACAGCTGTTTTCTCTGCCTACGAGTGTAAAGACCTGCGACTTTACCTGCGCGACTTTAACCAAGCATCGAAACCGGCAACACACTTAAGTGCTCTCTTTTTTCCCTTTGCACACTCCTTTCTGTCCTCTCCCTTCCACCTCTATCATGTGTTTTCAATACATTCCGGTTGTCTCTCAACAACACTCTACCATCACTCGCAGATGGCAACGCAATCTTGCTAACCTGCGTCCTATCTGTACATCTCCTACTGCACCTCTTTCTTTCTCTGTGGGTCTCTGGAATTGTCAGTCAGCTGTCAACAAAGCAGACTTAATTTCTGCTTTTTCTTTACAATCCACACTCAGTATTTTGGGCTTGACTGAGACCTGGATTCGTCCAGAAGACCCAGCAACCCCAGCTGCTCTATCTAACAACTTCTCTTTCTCTCATACCCCCCGTCAGGTTGGGAGGGGTGGGGGCACTGGTCTGCTCATTTCTGACAATTGGAAATACTCAACCCAGTCTCCCCTATGCAATTATAACTCATTTGAATCTCATGCGATTACTGTAACAGCTCCTATAAAACTACATGTTGTGGTAATTTACCGGCCTCCTGGGCAACTGGGCACCTTCCTAGAGGAGCTGAATGAGCTGCTGTCCTCATTCCCGGAGGACAGCAGTCCGCTTTTAGTCTTTGGCAACTTTAACATTCATCTGGACAAGCCTTATGCTACAGACTTCCATTCACTCCTAGCTTCATTTGATTTCAAACGCCTTACCACTACAAGCATTCACAAATCAGGCAACCAACCTGACTTAATTTACCCACGCAATTGTACTGCAGACAACATTTTGGTAAAACCCCTACACATCTCTGACTATTTCTTCATTATATTTAACCTACATTTTGCTACCTGTGTGCCACCAACCCCTATACCGGTTATTTTTAGACGAAACCTATGCTACCTTTCCCCCTCCCATCTCTCCTCTGAAATCTCCTCCTCTCATCCCTCACCCACCCATTTCTCATCTCTGGATGTGAATGCAGCAACTGACACTTTATGCGCTACTTTAACCTCTTGTCTAGACGATATTTGTCCTCTCTCCTCCAGGCTAGCACGGGCTGCCCCTTCTAACCCCTGGTTATCCAATGTTCTTCATGAGCATCGGACCAAACTCAGGGCAGCAGAGAGAAACCTTTCACCCTCCCATCTTTCCTCTGAAATCTCCTCCTCTCATCCCTCACCCACCCATTTCTCATCTCTGGATGTGAATGCAGCAACTGACACTTTATGCGCTACTTTAACCTCTTGTCTAGACGATATTTGTCCTCTCTCCTCCAGGCTAGCACGGGCTGCCCCTTCTAACCCCTGGTTATCCGATGTTCTTCGTGAGCATCAGACCAAACTCAGGGCAGCAGAGAGAAAATGGTGCAAATCAAAAGATCCGTCAGACCTGAGTATGTATCAGTCTTTGCTTTCATCTTTCTCTGCTGAAGTCCATACTGCCAAATCTTCATACTTCCACAACAAGATCAACAGCGCTCCAGACACACGTAATCTCTTCAAAACTT